CAAAAAACCCACACACAATATTACAGAATCTTTCTTTCCAAAGCTTGTCATAGTTGACCAAGCCTAGTTACAGTTGCTAAGCTACGACTGCACATTCAGATTTAATGAAATAATTTATTTGCCAAAGTGCATCATATTTCTTTCATATATTAAGGAAAAATTTAGTTTTTACTTTGCAGTATCTTGCAGAAAGTAGTGTTGTAAAAAGTAGGCTATGTTACTGTGAAATGTAGTGAAGTTGTAAAAAATTAAAATACTTTAATAAAGTACAGATATTTGAGGAAAAAAAACTTAAGTCTAATAATGAACTACATGTACTTTGTTACTGTCCACCACTGAAATACAGTGAACTACAAGAAGCCCCATTTGTGTCATTGCTCTGTAATAGCTTGCCATGTTTGGTTGATATTTATTTACTTACGGATTTACGTATGCATACAATTATGCATGTGTATATTTTGTATTCATTCAATCATTAATGTATTTATTTAGGTATACCACAACAGCATATAAGAAAATATTGTGATATACCCATTTTTGTGTCCTAATGAAGGCCTGAGAAGTCCGCAACACGTCGGCACATTTTCATACATATTGCCATGTTTCAATAAAGGCTTAATATACTTCTCTTAACATGGTGTGCCCATGAATTTCTTTGCTCTGGGATTTATTTTGCACGTTTTGTGGATATATGGAATTTTTGGTTATTTGAATCTTCCAGGATGGAACTGTTACTTGGAGTTTGCTGCACCCATGCCCAGTCTTTTTGCTTCATTTTTGTAACCCCTGCAGCTCTTCTTCCACTTTATTTTTTCATATTGTGATATAAATTAGAGTTCACATTCCACCACACCCTTGTCTGTGTATTAGCACTTATTTTATCAGTCAAACTGAACTGAATTCCTCCTCTTTTACCTGAGATGAAGGGGTTGATTGGCTTGGAAACAATACTGCCCTCCTTCTTTTTGAACTTCTCTACTTTCTCTCTCTCCTCTGAGCATGATTCCAGCTGGCCTTCACTCCTCAGGGCCTGTTTCTGCTTCTCATAGGCCTGAGTGAGACAGAGAGATAGAGACAAAGACAAACAGACAGACAGAATGAATAACAGCATTAGCAGGGGGCAATATATACAGCATAAAAGGCAGTGGTGCCACAGCCTTCACAAACCTTCATCTTCTTGGCAATCTCAGTTTTCTGATGGAGGATGTACTCCAGTATGGCCTCTCTTTCATAGAGGTACCCATCTTCACTGCAAAACACAACAGACACATATAAACAATGATTCAGATCTCACAAAATCAAAGTATTTCTTGTGTTTTGTATTTTTGTTGTTCAAGCTTATGCTATATGATGAGAACAAATGCCTTGTAAGAGCATACGATAGCACCCAGATGTGTCAGATCCACACAACTATGTATACACTTATTCAATTACAGTTCATATTTCATTTTCCTGCTAAAACTCTTGATAAGCTTGATATGAAGTAAACAATTCTGGAGAAAACTATTGAGTCAGATTTGCTCACAGTAATGGTGATATAAATGAGGCCCTGGTCCCCAAGATGTTGGCCTAAAACTTTTTTTAAAATCCAGATGTACTTTTGGGGCTTTGTAAGGAAAAATATAACCCCCCCCCCCAAAAAAAAATGATTTAATATTATTCAATTGTTATCAACATTACATGTAAATACTCAGAAGACACATGCAAGTTCACTGTTTTTGAATTGTCAATAAAATTATTTTGTGTTGTAGACATTGTGTCCCCCGGTTCCTATCACCACCACTGTAAAGAAACCTGTAAACTGTAAGAGTCTGGAAATCTCTCTACAATGAACCACTTCATATTAAACCACACATCTTATTGACCAGACTTTAGATTTTGAAAAATTGATGGAATTGCTTTTTATGTATCAAGTCAGTGATTCTGCAAAGCCTTGAGCTGTAGCCTGTGAATACTATAAAACTTACAACCTAAATATACAATAGAATTAACTTATTATAATGACGTATGCACACAGCTTATACAGACTACGGCTGTGTCTGATCTACCCACGTTACAACCGGGTCTTTGCATGGCTGTAATGAGAGGCAGCAGCAGTCGAAATCTTTAATCGCGTCTTTTCCCAGGCGAACACTCTGAGTCCCGTATCCAGAAGCAGCTTAAATGGAGAGAAACAATAGTGGACATGAGAGAACAGCACAGTTAACGCTAAGTAAGATGACAAACTGAACTAAAACGGTCACCTTCTAGCTCGAATTTTCCCGTTCCGCCTTAAATGGTGCGTCAGAATGTAACTGCTGCACCATTTAAGGTGGAACGGGACAATTCGAACAAGAAGCTAGCGAACAGGACGGCGTCGTAGTAAAACCAGCCAACCTGTATCCTTCCTCTTCTCATGATAGGTGTACACGGCCCCCGCAGTGCAGTTCTTCCCATGTCGCGTCATTTTCGGTTTTAGTGGCTTTAATAAAGCAGAATTATTATATTTTACACTTCAGCTTATACACACAACCTCAACAGACGCAGCAGCAGAACTGCTGAGCCGCTGTAGATCAAACCTGAACTCCTCTTAACTGTATTTTAATGCACGTTTTGGGACGGTGGTCGACGTTATACCAATATTACAGGCTACGTGAGACGCTAATAAAGAACAATTCTTTAAAATTTACGCATAAAATCAAATAAACAAAGCAGAATTTTCAGCGATGCTGCTTGTTTACCTCGCTCCTGGATGAACGTGAAGCGGTCCCAGCGCTTCCTGTTCTTGATTTAGCGACGGGCCATCAAAATAAAAGTCCATGGTCGTCCAGGCTTTTGACGTTCAGAATCGCTCCCAGCGTGAAATGTTATAACGCGGAGAGAGGTCTGTACAGGCAGCGTTTCTACCACTACTACTAATAACAATACGAATTATACTAATGCTAAATAAATAAATAAATAAATAAATAAATAAATAAATAATAATAATAATAATAATAATAATAATAACAACAACAGCAGAGTTTGCATGTTCTCCCAGTGTATGCGTGGGTTTCCTCCGGGTACTCCGGTTTCCTCCCACAGTCCAAAGACATGCAGTTAAGCTACTTGGACATGCTAAATTGCCCCTAGGTGTGAATGTGTATGTCTGTCTGTCTGCCCTGCGATGGACTGGCGACCTGTCCAGGGTGTATCCTGCCTTCCGCCCAATGACAGCTGGGATAGGCTCCAGCACCCCACCGCGACCCAGAAGGATAAGTGGTTTAGATGATGGATGGATGGATAATAACAACAGCAACTATGGTCTAATTTTGTCATATTTATTACTATGTCTATCTATCTATCTATCTATCTATCTATCTATCTATCTATCTATCTATCTATCTATCTATCTATCTATCAACCCCTCTCTCGCTCTCTCCAAATTATATATTTTATGAATATATAAATAAATGTATTTATTATTATATAAACTCTCTCTCTCTCTCTCTCTCTCTCTCTCTCTCTATATATATATATATATATATATATATACAGATAGATAGAGATATACAGTTGCTGCTCAGTCAGCGGTTCGGTGTTGCACCTCACGATATCTTGAGAAAAGCTTTTTTGGAGAAAAGCTGATTGGCTGCGTCGCCGTTTAAAGCCGTTGCAAAATATTCGAGGTCATTGTGTTGCTTGGCAACCGCAGCCTTCTGGTAACGAGCGGCTTTGCTTAGCGGAGGAATAGTTTGTGATTGTTATTACTATTAAAATAAAATATGTAGTAAGAGTAGTATATTTTATCATATTTATTGTGTCGCTGTTTTATGTAAACGCGTCGTGCTTAACTTCATTAACTACGGGTAATATCAGCAACTCAGGACCGGCAGGCTTAACGCTATTCCTGAAGACCGAGGACAGAGAGCGGCGCTGAGGCAAACGGCACACTCGGCTCATAATGTAGGTTTTTTAACCAGTGTGTGGTGTTTTACTTAAAAAGTGAACAAATGTCATTTTATTTACGAGTTTTGTGATTTGTTTACGCGTTTTGTAATAAAAGTGTGACAGTTTTCTGAACGCTGAGGGAAATGTAAGTTGGCATGCTAACCTAGCTAGCTTAACATAACGAACCTGTCAGCTTCACTTATTTAGTTATTAATTAAATTAGGAAACATTGATGTCATATATGTAGTATCGCACAAAGAACACGAAAAATAAATAAAATAAAAAATACAAAATACTTCACATTGTAAATAGACTGTAAATATGTATGTGTGTATATATATATATATATATATATATATAAATAATATATGTATGTGTATATATATATATATATATATATATATATATATAAGTATATGATACTTTTTCACTTATATCTACCTCAGAATTCAGAATCTAAAGATTTATCTTTTTCGATTTACTTTAAATATTTAGCTTATGCTTAAATTTCTACTTCATTTTCTTCTTCTTCTTCTTATTATTATTATTATTATTATTGTTATTGTTATTATTATTATTGTTATCTGTCAGTGGTCTGAGGATAACACACTCAAAATGATGTATATAGTAATGTGTATGAGTAGGTTTCCTTTTTTAATTTAACAAAGTTTCCACTTTGTTGATCCTTTTATGATGCCTTTCTGTCCAGCCAGTGTGTTTTACTTACTACCCCTGAGTGAGTGGCTAGGTTATCCACATAGAGCATCTTGAAATGTCTTTATAACTCTTTTCACCATGGGACTCTTTCATGTGTACAGCAGAGTAAAGGAGGAACCAGGCTGCAAACGCTTGATCACTTAAAACCTTAAGAACTTCAGTCAAATGTAACAGTACTGTTATGTGCAATAAAATAGTAACTGTTTTTACTTAAAATAGAAATGAAATAGAAATGTATGTATTCGTCTATTATTGCTTGCGACTTAGAGTATATGGAGCAATATGGTGATGCTAGAAGAGCAGGTTTTGCATTTTGGGTAACTGAGTTTACGCTGACTCCTGTGCTAAAATGTAAAAGTAAAATAACAACAAAATAAAATGTCCCCATAGTTGTATTTAATAGTACAATTTTGTGTTCGTTTATGGCTCACATTTCCTGTTAATTACACAGTAAACCATCAGATAAAAACATGTAGGCTTATTAATAAATTTAGGTCATTTAATTTCGTGTTCCATGTGTTGAAAGGATTTGTGAAATGTTGTCAGATTAAAAAAGTTGGTGGACAAATAACTTATTAAATGTCAAGACTACAGTATTGCAAACCCTTGAGTTTTTAAATTCCCCCTCCCCCCCAAAACCCAACTGCAGCTTGTTCCACTGGCCACATGGTGGCGACTGAGGACTTAATTGTCATCATCATCATCGTCATCCTCAAAGACGTCTGCGACTGTCCTGAAAAGTGAAATGCCGTATTTTAGTGTGGCATACATACATGACTCATAGCATAATAGTTTACATCTTAATTAGGCTAAAAACTGTTTATAAAACATGTGTCTTTGTGTAATGAAGTGTGTCTTACTTGTAGATTGATCCAGTCACAGAGTCTACAAATCCACCTTTAAAAATGAATGAAATAAATAAAATAAATGAAGTATATATACATATATATAGTAAATATATAGAGCATCATATTGTTAATACAGCTCTTACCTGGCTGGCACACGGTGTCACAAACAGGACACACAGCACACATATTGCACACCTGAGTAGAGACATGTGAAAAGTATTTGGTTAAAAGAAGAGACTTTTGTATTAAACAACACACAATTTCTCAACCAAAAATGAAGATAATCTCTTTTTTATCTTGAGCTCACAGTAAGACTGTACTTTATAATGGCAGCTCGTCGTTCCTTAGTCACATTTAAACCCACATAATTGGCATTTTCATCCTGGCTGTCAAGGCTTAAGCTGAACTGCCCACAAACATTACCTCAACATTTAAGTCATTACCAGCAGCTCAGCTCATCACATCTCTCAGCGTAGACACAGCTGAGGCATGTATGGCCTTTATCAGTCTAACCAGGGGCGGATTTAGGAGCATGGCCACACGGGCACTGGCCCCAGAAGAAATCTGATTGGCCCCTTAACGGTACTGCTAAATTAAACCTCTTCTGTGCAGTAGAAGTTTCTTCAGCACTTGGTTTCATTTTTACATATGTATCTTTTATATACTATACATATACTATAATAAACATATATAGCTTTAGAACAGTGGGTGCAAAAAGGCTACCGTGAGTAAATTATCATTGTTTACAACCAGGACAATCAGGTACCACATCGTTGTTGTCTGAAATTGATGTAATTAATTTCTCTGGACTGCCCTACTTATGGGAACTAAGCGATCGTCTGCATATTACATTGCAAGTGGTAATCATAGGGGTCCAACCACTTTCACGACTTATGAAGCTAGTATAGGCCTTTCAGCAGACAGAACAAAAATGACAGTGGGTTTTTAGAATGGCCTCTATTTATAATAACTGGTGACCAAGGATCTTACAATAAGATATTTGCTAAATGTCCTACACACTGATCTTGGTATAGTACGCAATAGATTATTTTAAACAAATAATCCGAAATACAATACAGTTTTTGTCATGACTTGAATTGCCATAGTAGTTGAACTCAATGAACTGAATCATTCTACAGCTAGGGCACCCAGTCCTGGTCCTGAAGATCTACCACCCTGCAGAGTTCAGCTCTAGCCGTTATATAACACACCATTCATTAATTAGTAATTAAATGCCCTCAGAGGCATCTAAAAATTAGACACAAGGGTGTTGGGGTTTGAACACTCCAGGGTGGTGGATCTCCAGGACTGGGACGGGTCCCCTCTATTCAACAGCAATTACTTATTCACCTGTAGGTATGCACCATAATGCTTCATTTTCATTTAAAATCACTAAAATTTTATAAGAAAATTTTTTGGACCCTGTACCAAGAGTTGGTTTCTGAACTCGAATTTTTCACTGCTTACAAGTTTGCACATCTGTATTTGAAAGTTGTGAAATCATTAGCATCATAAAATGTATAAAATTAATAATATATCGCTGCTGTCGGGCCCAAACCTCGTATGTCCAAAATGCTAACTTTACAGGAGAGAAAAAAAACATACTGTACTTTTAATGTACGTCAAGGGAACCAGACTTTTCAAAAAGTAATTTTGGGCCGTTTCTTTTGATCCATTCATCCTGAAATTTACAAACAATATAAAGGAGGCATTTTGAAATTATGTCAAAAACTGAAAAGCAACAAAAACGGAGATACTAGGATTTCTTCCAACAACAGCGATACGCAAATGGATTATATAGATATTGTGAGATACTTATGGTCCTCTTATTGTGGAATATATTATTTATTTGGCCCCTGAATAGGAACTGTGGCCACTAAAACCCTAGACCTGCCAGTGAGTCTAACCCAAGTAAAACATCACCTTCCAGTATGAAAGCCATGGATGACAGAGCAGTGATTCTTCTAGGGTTTCTGACTCGCTAACTCTGACTTTACCAAATACTGCACTGAAGAAAAGTGATGCACTGAACATTTTCACATCTTTTCCACATGAATAAAGTATATTGCATCAACACAATTATTGTCAAAAGTTAGACAAACTTTAGTTGATTATACACATTTGAATCAGGTGTTCTGTGTATTGCGGATATTGTGCGTATGTAATTTGTCCGTACATTGTGTCTGTGTGTCAAAATTCTGAGATATGTGCTGTGTATCATGAAAATGTATTTAAGGATCGTGATATAAAGTGTTTTTGCCATATCGTCGACATCTACTGAGTAGTAAATGTCCATTTCCTTAGTAAAACACTAACATAGCAACAAATATCATTCACATAAATACAATAAGTAGTGGTTTTATGTATGTTGAAGTGTTGGCCTCGAAGAAGCTTAGTATTTATAGCTAGCATCCAGCACCTACTTCATGTACTCAAGTATGCTGCTGATGGAATTTAACTAATCTGTGTGAAGGCTGGAAGCATTTGGGAGAAAATTGGGAACGAAACCTCTGTTTTTATAAACAACTCATAAAATTTTACTTTTTGAAGTCAAGAAAGTCTCGTTCATTTCTATTGTATTTGTATATAATACGTTTATTTGTACTTTTGTTTGTAGTTTGCGTTTGTATTTGTTTATTTGTAATTCTGTTGTGATATGGTGTTTTACTCACTAAAGCACTCTTGCTTCTGAGATAAAATGGTTTTAACCCCTTAAATGGCCAGAGCCCACCAGCAGGCCCAAAGTTTATAACCTAGCTCATCCAGTTTGCGTTGAAGTCCCTGTAGTTACTAAATAATAAGCCTTAGTATGTAATAAGCCTAGAATTTTAAGGGGTTAAACAATCTGTTTAGGTGCTGAAGACTTTTGCACAGCGTATATACTTGTGAATGTGTGTGCGAGACGTTTCTCACCTCACAGTATTTGCAGTGCTTTGACTTGTCTCCCTTTTTACATGGGCATTTGTCACAGCTGTCGCAGTGCTGAGGGAGAGAGACAGGAGTGAATAACCATTGCAACAAACTTCACAGCACAGAGATGTCTCAGGTGACAAGGTAAGGGAATGAAGTACTCAACCCTTAGAAGAGAGGTATTACTTGTGTTTTGCTATAATTACATAATTACATATTTAGCCTCCAGTGAGAAATTATTGAGATTGAATTATACCATGCTTTGGTTATCGCCTACAACTTCTAAGGGTTAGATTCCTAAACTCAGTGCATATGTTCTGTTTATATTTATATACCCAAATCACTCAGAGCTACAGAAAAAGTAATTATCTTGTACTAGGTAATGCCATATCAAAGGCTGATATTAAAGCTTCCTGTCAGCATTATTAAAAACAGCGCAGGGTTAGAGCGCAGTTTGAATGTAGCTGGAGTTGACATGCTCCTCTTTCACGCTATGAAAGACCCCCAATAAGTCCTACCTCACAGTGGGCACAGAGCTTGCAGATAGATCCTGCATGGTAGTCTTCATCTCCGTCATCGTCTGTAAAAAACGTTTTTAGTTCTCTTTATAAATGAAACCATTCCTGGTACATATTTGTATGTGTGTATATTTGTTTTATCCATACAAAGTAAAAATGGTGCTAAAATGTTAGATTGATTATTCTCACTCATTCATCCCCCCACTTGCTCAATTCTGGAGTACTAAACAAACAGGCATGCTAATAAATGATCACTAGATAATGGATATTTATAGGTTCAAAAGTTACATATTACTGCACTTACAATATGCTGTATATCATGTATAAGAACTCTTTATGTGGAAATGCACTGCAAACATTTTTTAGGGGTTTTAACCTAAAAAGTTAGTTGAGCTGTCTTAAAATTTTGAACTTTAAATAATATGTTAGCAGAATGTAAGACACAGATATTTGTTCTGTTAACGTACAATTAGACGTTCAGTGGCCCAGTTACTGAGATAAAAATTTTCTGTTAAAGTGTATGAGTTTTATATAGACTACATACGTTTTGCAATCAAGAATTCAGAGAAGCTGACCCCAGATTTTTTATGATTTCCGTCCATTCCAGCTGCCTACTGGCTGGTTCTTACCCCAAACCTCTCATATCCCAGTGACCCCTGCTCACCTTCGTTAAGTGTGCTCCTACAACACTCCTTAAAACACTTTAAACTGTAGGCAACAGAGCACACCATGGAACTCAGGATCATTTGATTTATTCCATCGTTTCAAAGTGGGGTGAACATGTGATGTGTGGTGGAATACACTACTGTGCTGAATTCACACCAGATGTTACAGTCAACAGAGAATGAAAAAAACATTACATAATTAAAAAAAAAAGATAAACAACAGAGAAAGAATAAAGTGTCAGTCATATCCATGTATGTGAAACTGGCAGTAACAGTCATCTCCTAAAAAGTGTTGTGTTCCCTTGTCATACGTCTTATTTGGGAGTGTATAATTTTGGTGAATTCACATTCTCTCTCTTTTGCTACCTCTCTGCTGGTAGCCATACTGCTGCAGCCATGCTTTCTTAAAGTTGCTTAAAGTTAACACCACAAAGTTGAATAAACCAGACATGTCACAGTGTTTGCATTATTCATGTATGTGGGATTGAAGCATAACTATCAACACATTCTCACACCAATTAACCAATTAATAAGTCATTCAAATATTAAAACATTAAAATATCCAATAAATTACAGAATAAGCATTTAAAGATCATTTCGGTCTTTACACAGAGGCTGAGGAGATGATTTTGTTGACAAATGCTTTAAGAATGAGAGTACAGTTAAGCATTCAGTTTGTAAACATGTTTAGAAAGCAAAAAAGAGCTAGAGGTTAGCATGTAACAGGGTATGTATGTAAATATGAAAAAAAGCATAAGTGATATATAAATATGGTTTAAAAACACACAAAAGTTACAAAAGGACAAACCAGGGTAGCACACGTTACATTTGTTTTGGTGCTATATAACATACAATTATGGAGAATCTCTACAGAGAAAGAATGAGATCTGAGAGATGTAGAGAAAGAGAGAGAATCTTGAATTATTTCATCCAATCAGTCTGTATCGTGGGTCTATCCAACCTCCTCCTGTCTCTCTCTCTCTATCAGCCCCCACTATACTCTGTCCTCGGTCCTGTCCTGCTCTCTACTGTCCTAGTCCCAATGCCCGGCTACATCTCCCTGTCTCTCCTTCTTTCTCTGTAGTTTCACATGGAGACACAAGTCCAGATAAATCCAAATTCGAACGGGGTGGACGAAGGGAAGAAGGGAGCCCACTCTTTCAAACGAGACACAAATCAAAAAATGATTCTGATCTATAGAGGCAGCATGAGGCCTGGGGCTCAGACTGCAGCGCCGGATTTTGCTTTTTCTCTTTTAAGTCCTCAGTTCATAAGTACTGTACTGTACTGCGCTTCAGGACTTGACACAGTCCGCCTTCAGAGGGCCCACAGAACTCATAGCTCTATTTAAGCAGGGAAGAGAAGACAGAGAGAATCAGAGACAGCCAGGTTGATGGAAAGCTAGAGAGGGGAGGAGGGTCTACTGCAGAGCTCTGAGCATTCTGATTGGATAAGAAAAAACTGACTGACAGGGCTAGAGTTATGACTGATGAAGAACAGCATGCCTGGCAGAGCTAGGGAGTGGCCAGACGCTCCCGTGCTCCTCCCCTCTCTTACCCCAAATAGGCGAAGATCAGTGAAGGAGGAGTAAGAGGGGGCACAAACAACTAAAAAATAACGTGGGGCACAATCATTACGTTAATCTGTGAGGAAGATTACGTACCTTCATGGTCGTCGTCATCATCATCGTCATCATCATCATCATCATCATCATCGTCATCATCGTCGTCATCATCGTCATCATCATCATCGTCGTCATCATCATCGTCGTCGTCATCATCGTCATCATCGTCGTCATCATCGTCGTCATCATCATCATCGTCGTCGTCATCATCATCATCTTCGTCATCATCATCGTCGTCATCATCATCATCGTCATCATCGTCATCGTCATCGTCATCATCATCATCATCGTCATCATCATCATCGTCATCATCGTCGTCGTCATCATCATCGTCGTCGTCATCATCGTCGTCGTCGTCATCGTCGTCGTCATCATCGTCATCATCGTCGTCATCGTCGTCATCGTCGTCATCGTCATCATCGTCGTCATCATCATCATCGTCATCGTCATCGTCGTCGTCGTCGTCATCATCATCGTCATCATCTGCCATTAGTCCCTCCTCATGGAACGCAGGTATCTCCTGGGCTTTGACAGCGGCAGTTGGAGCCAGGGGTGTCTGGAAGCTGCAGAGCAGGACCAGCAAGAGCCCCAGCAGCCAGCTCTTCAAAGTAGCCATGACCGGACAGGGGGAGTTAGACCCACACACACAGATCACTCACTCCTCCACAGTGCAACGTTCCTGCACGTGCACTTGACAACTCAGTGCCACTCAACAGATACCTTGGAGAACCTCCTCAGTACGTCCACCACTTACACACACAGTGACATGCACTCACGCACACGCAGAAAAGCTCTGGGTATGGCAAGGTAGCACAGGTGACCAAGAAAAAGCCTGGAAGTACAAAGTATTCCAACGGTCAGAATCCACACGCTTGTTCCCAATACACAAAACGCTAGATGATCCCTTGGGATTCAGGTGTTCCTTCTAGGTTTTGGAAAAGCACCACACGCAGGTGAATTAAAAAAAAAAAAACAAAAAGATGACGATGATCCCACTGTGCGGTGATTTAGCGTGTTAAGACTGGAGAGGAGCGGAGTGGCAGGCTAGGCGGCGTCTGCAACACAGACCTCACTAATGGTGCGCAGACAGATAGAGAGACAAACTCGGGGGTAAGACGAGACGGGGGCGGGGGGCATGAAGCATGAGTGACAGGGCCAAGTGCTGGCGACCAGGCCGGCAACTACTGTCCATACGCTTTAGAGAAAGAGAGAGACGGAGGGCGGCATATATTGCTTGCTTTCCTGCCGTCATCAAATGTTGGGGTTTAACTTTAGAGAAGGCAGTGGCTGAGGGGGTAAGGAAAGGATGACCATATATCGTGAGCATGAGGGTGGAGGAAAAGAGCGAGAAGGGAGGCAAAGAGGGAGGGAGAAGGTATCAGGTCTATATCAAGAGGATGAGCTGGGTGGAAGGATCATTGAATAAGTCCATATGTGAGATGTAGCGTTTAACATATAGTTTGGATCGCCTGCAGTAGTGCACACTCATGCACTTTGGAGTGAACAACTGTGTTCTTCACTCCCAGTGCTAGAGTGCAAGAGTACTGCACAGTGTAGTATTCTGTCTAACACAACTGGGGGCAACTCATTTGTTAATTAATGGTCCATAAATGAGTTGAATGATGTGTGCGTTGGGTCAAGAAAGCTCTAATTGGTGCAATGTCACGACTCTCTTAGACTTGGTGTGAATAACCATGTACTATCGTATAGTGTTCGATGTACGATGCTTATCTTGTGTTGTGTTAAATGGCTGAATGACGCAACTCACTTCACTCATACATTGATCATTTCCATTTAATTGCAGGGTGTTCATTCATTTATTTGTGACCTACTTGCCATAAATCTGACCAGCTAAATTGGTCAGTGGAACAATGAGCCAGCACATTCAGAAATCCACTCACACACAGGTGGATCAGAACTCCACTTTCACGTTTTGGGGCAGCAGTAGTCTCACACTGGACGCAGCACTGTCAGTGCCTTCCCACCCGCTCCCTCTCCAATATGTCCCTAAAATAGTGCAGTAAAGGCAGGGCGGGGGAATGGGGCCCTCTATTTAAAACCCAGCTCTACCACCGTCAGGGTAATGTGACCTTCTCTGGCACGGTGCACCACTGACACCCAGTAACACTCCTCAACTACCCCCATACCACTACCACACTTTCTCTGCATCCACCCCCACCAATCTTTAGTTTCTCATCCCATTACATCCACTTTTTCCACCTTCTTAGCATTTGTCTACATAATCTCACGTAGACCTGGTCTGGATTTTTTTCACGTCTTCATCCCATTTTGGTCAAAGCTTTATGAGGCTTTATGGACCAGTTTGAACAACAAAATGTGAAACTAACAGGAAATTTTATCCCTGCGCTGTAACTATTAATCAGTTCAGGTTTACAGTGAAGGAAAGACTTGCAGTGTTCTGAGGAACAACTGACAGTTGGGTGGGGTGGTGGTGGTGGGGATAAGGCTCAGGAGGGAGAAGAAATTGCACTGTGGCTGAAAGTGGAGATGTATCTAGACATACCTCTGAGATATCTGCCCCTCCTTCTTTCTCGCTCCACTGAGTGCAGCCATGGCCTACAGGAGTTACATGGCCTGGCCACAGTGTTTGACCCACATATTTAACTACAGGATGGTTAGACCAGAAGTCGTGAAAACCAAGTCCTCAGCCCGCTTCAGGTCATTGCTACTGGACATTTCCCATCCTAGCTTGTGATGTCCTCCAGCCCAGTGCTCTTCTTGTACAACTCATTCCAGGCACGAGCAGTTCATTCCACCTCTTCACTGCATGTTAGTCATGGGATTAAAGCATATAGTTTAGTACCTTTATCAGTTTTATCATGCTTTTACAGACGGTTTCCCAGACTACGTTTTCCTTCCAGTGGAGAATCTTCATTGAGAATTCTTTATAGGCCAGGACTGCACTTAGCTTTACGTTAAAGGCTAGTTAGTCTTGTTTTTATTGAAAAAAGATAATGAGTTTGTTTTAAGTTGTGATATGTGTATGATTTCAGTGCAGGGTCACTAAGACATGCTTGATCATCTGAAACATCCCCTCAGAATAACCAGATATTGTTAACCTTTCTTAGTGAATGAAGAAATGCTAGAAAGCTCAAACTTTAATTTTTTTTTTCGTAAAAACTGAGGTATAAAAACATGGCAGACAGCCTCAGGCACAGAAAATGAAATGAAGTTTTAATAGTTACAGCATAGCAAATATTGCAGTTCAACATGACAATCAGCCCAAATGCCAGCATTGCCCTTTAGTGTTAAGGTCCTGGGCAGATATAAGCAGTGCCTCTGATCCACAGATACTGAATATGACAACCCGATCCTGATCTGGCTCCCAGTCTTCCCATGTAAGGCTCCCGTGAGACCTGGACAACGCCAGCCTCAGAATCAAATGATCCTCAAGACGAGCAGGAGGGGTCACTAGCAAAGGCACTAGGAAAGTCTAGGAACATAATTGAAGAATAAAACTGACATTACCGCAAAGGCAACATGTGGTTGTGAACAAAGATGCACCCTTATAATGATTCCAAAATATTAAAGTCCCCTAAGAAGATAAAAAAAACATAATCCCAATCATAAACAGTGACACCAAAACTAGTTAGAACCTTTATATTTTACTCTTAAACTCAAACCCTGAACATTAAACATTAAAAACATTAAAAACATAATACCAGACAAACAGTGAAAGTAGTTATAACCTTTATATTTTACTCAAAACCCAAACATTAAAACATAAAAAGCATAATACCAGACATAAACAGTGACAGCAAAACTAGTTATAACCTATATATTTTACTCTTAAACTCAACACCTAATCATTAAAACATTAAAAACATAATAGAGAACAGAAACAGTGACAGAGAAACTAGTCATAACCTTTACATTTTACTCTTAGACCCAAAACCCGAACATTAAACATTAAAAACATAATATTACATGTTTGTTACAACTTGAATTTAAAAAAGGAAGGAAATTTACAGGGATAGCTTTGGGGATAGTTGTCTCTCCTATGACCACAAGAGTGAGAGAACCTGAATATCACTGCATGCCTGTGTGTTTGTGTGTGTGTGTGTGTGTGTGTTGGCTGTAGCTCCTTTGGTTTGAGGCTCCTTTAAGCACTGCTTCATCTGCTTGGTCAGCTTGGTGAAGAGGGGGAGGTCAGGACCGCGTCTGAAACACCGAACACAAGACAGATCAGCGCTGGACTTCAAGGTGTAGCTTTTCATTGCTTTGTAAACATTTACATGCTTTGAATACGGACACTTTGATTATTGTTTTCCTGAGGTTGTGTGGTAAGTATCACAGCTCATTTACCGCACCACATTTTAACACCGAATAAGGGAGATTTGCAAGATGACGGGTCTTTAAGCATTTTTGTTTGTACTTTGATTTTGACTTGCTGGTCACCAGTGAAGGGAAGGTAGACTGACTGCAGTCATCTCTAGACATGCAGTACCGAATATAAATCAGTTCTAAGAGCCTTCACGAGGCTGCTTCAGCAATGTGTATATATAAGGGTGATCTAAAATAAGCAGAACTCTGTTAAGTCACTGAGAAACATAAGCCTAGAAATGCTGTCGCAGTAAGACGGATAGAGAGCAGTTGGACTGAGTGAGCGCGAGAGAGAGAGTGAGAGAGAGAGGGAAGGAACAGAGGACGAGTCTGTTTGATCAGGTTATTCTGAGCTAATCCTTCCATTATCCACAAGAGGGAGCTAGAGCAAAACTCCATCTGGAAGAAAGGCAGATAAAGAAACATTAAGTCAAAACTAGGAGTTATTTGATGATATTGTCGTAAACAGACTATGTCATGATAAGCTTTTCTGAGTGTATCGTGGGCACAGTCAGTAATGAAAGACCACTGACCAGCTCTAGGTTTAGAAGAGGCTCAGAAGCGGTTGTGGAATTCCCAAAAGTAGCACGAGAGTGCATAATATGTAAGTAAAATGTTCAGGTCTGGCCCAAATAATTTCAGCACTTGAGTACTTGTTAATTACATTGGTATTAGTTTCTCTGTTCAGTATTCTAAAGGTTCCATTATAACTGCAGCCCAAAATAAATTTCATCAAATGTCTTTAGATCAAACGCCATTGGTAATATAATCTCGCTATCTAAAAAAAAAGTATCTCGATTTTCCATTTTCATTTTTCTACATCATTTGAGCAACATCCTTCATGTTGTCTGAAATTTTCATGATGAATGGACCATCAGAAATGCAATTCTGGAATTTTTTGCTGAAATTTCTGCTTGAAAATGATCTTTTTACAGTAACTTACATTAAAAGTAATGAATGCTTTTGCAATCATTTATGAGATTTTTGTAAAAATAAACATTGGAATTACATAAATACATAAAGGTTTGCGTTGGCCGGCGCAAGATGAGCATTGCATACAGCCAGCCGGTGTTGACTAAAATATTGATTAAAATAAAAGTGTCTGTTCTGTCACATGGACGAATAAAAACACTTTAAATACGGTGATTTTAAGGGTGATTTTGAGAAGAACTTTTATTGTGACACATATCTATATCTAGTATTCGAAGCCTGTAAATTACTGTTCAGGCCAGCCCTATAAATGTTAAAATCACACATTTTTTGTAGAACTTTTTTTTAATTTTCAACAGGATTTTCTAAACAGGTGTCTATTCCAACTTATCAAACTTAAAAAATGTATATATTTTTGGTATTGCCCACCCTAAACTCCTAAAGGAGAATTCCATCAATCTTTCAAAATTTCTGCATAATTAAACGGTTAAGATGTAAACAGTCATTCAAGGTGGCCTTACGGAGTATTTGGTTGTTCAGAGTGGTGGTGATAGGAACCAGACATCTGAAGAGTTTAATGCTTCACAAAGTTATTACATGCATGAGTTACAAGCAGTATACTGCCCGATGCCCGAGAGATTGTTTTATGATAGTTTGATGAAGGTTTTTGCCTAAAATATATTTTTTACAGTGGAAAGATACATGTAGAGTGTTGTAAGACAAAAAAATCTTATTTTTTCAGATGTAACACTATTTTACCCTCATCAGCACTAAACTCAGAAGGCACATGTTAGTTTCACTGGTAGTTTTGGATAGTACATAAAATGGTGATATTTTTGTTTGAGACATCATGATCCCTGGTTTCTGTCACCACCACTGTAAAGAAATCAAAGTCTGTAAGTTTCTCTACAGTGAACCATTTCATATCAAACCACTCTGACTGACCTGAATCTACTTCTCAAAGACTGAACTATGCAGAACATTTGAAAAATCAGTGGAATTTCACTTTGAAAGGCAAAGGATTTCATTTATGACAGAATAACAACACTGGAAAAGCAAGAAACTGTTGAAGCACTGAAATGTGACCAAATGAAACTAAATGTGAACTGAGTGGGTGGTGGTGGTGTTGGTTGGCGGGGTTAAAACGTGGAGACAGTGAGAAGACGGATTGTCTGCAGTCTGTGCTGAGCAGGCATACACAACAGCTGTTGCTCAACTGAGATGCTCACATAGACATATAGTAGGCAGCATGCTAACACACACACTCACACAGACACACACACTGAAGGCCAAAGGAACTAAAGAAAATTCGCCGAGTTCACGTTGTAGAGCAATAGACAGCGCACATGGTCATTACTAACCTCAGACTCCAGCTTTCGTACGTTGTCCACCCTACATGATCACACACAAAATGGCAGCACCCAATTCAGCAAGCCTCAACATTCTCCATGTCTCCTGTTCTTACACACACGCAATAGGAGCTGCCACAGTGAGGGTTCCTGAATGCCCCTTGGTGTGCATTTCATGCAAGCCTTTGAGCCCAAAAAGCAAACTTAGCAGTAAAAGAAACTGAGAATAAGGCTTGTTTGACACATACCACCTCTTCATGACATAAGTGACGCTGGCAGTGAGACTGCTACAGCTTGTTAGCTTTGTAAGTTATGATGGGGCAATCATTTCAAGACTCATAAACCTACTGGTAAATATATATGCAGCCTGAAATAAATGTTTGGGTAGTGTTTCATTTGACAACGCTCATAATTTGCAGAACTTTTTTGCAGATATTTTAAAATCAAATTTCTTCTTTTTCATAGTTTACATACAGCCTAACGCTGTGCCGGTTCTGTGCTGCCTCTGGCAATCTGCTCATCCAGGCTGCATGAATAAATAAACAGCAGGATGTTTTGCATTGTTCACACCATGCAGAGGTAGTACATGTGAGGCCTAAGACAGAGGCTACATTCACATTACAAGCCCCATTACTCGAATCTGATATTTTAGCTCAAATCCGATCTCTCTAACGCGATGGTTCACACTCGTTTAGGTAAGTGATTCAAATCTATCCTTAATGTGAACGAACCAGCATCCTGAAATGACCCTCATGAGCACATCCTACTCAGTAACGTCATGATAATGAATCACGTGCATCATCAGCAACAAACTAACGAGCAGAACGAGCTTCGCTGAGAAGATAATTAACTCTGATCAGCTCTCAGCTTCATTATTAGAGCGAGACGAAGGTGAAAAAGGTGAGACGTGTTGCTTTTCCACCGGCTTTAACTTCTGTTCGGCGCTGCTGCCATGGTAACGCTGAATGATGGCGCTTGCGCAGTGGAAAAAAGCATGAATTCCGAACTGAGCCTCACATTAAGGTCACATGGCCATGAATCATGATACATGCCGGATTTAAAAAGATCAGATTTGCGTGTCCACACAGCTCTGAAAACATTTGGGGCAAAAAATCGGATATGTGCCACTTCAACTTGGTAATGTGAACGTAGCCAGAGAGACTGTTAAGCGGAGAGGGTAAAGAGGGACTGACTTGGCAGAAGTGTGTTTGAGTCGCTCAGTGTCCCTATTCCACAGTTTTGTGTGGAGAGCAGATTTTCCTCCTGCACTGCCTCCCATGTATTCAACCTACTGGCCTCCAATTCCTTGGGATCCAACACTGATGGATAGAGGGAAAAAGCAGAAAGAGAGAAGTGAAAACTGGAAAAATTGGTAGCAAATACGACTCCACTTCCCTCTGAATACATACGTCTTTAAACTAAAGCCAATTCAGCTCATGCCACTGAACTCATTAGGCTTTTCCATTAACATATCTGATCTAACGCCTCTCCACTAATTCTTAAAAGCAGAATCACAAGTGCTGCAGAAAAAAACAACAACAACACACTGGGCAGTGCTGTGTCCTCCTGGCCTGGATTCAGACCCCAATGGTTTACGTACTGAAGTGTTTGATCTTGACGGAAGGCACTTTGCAAATGTTCCTCTTGATGAAGAGGTGCAGGTGGGAGATGATGATGAAGGGCGGCGCCAGGCATGGTCGGGAATGATACTCCACTATCAGGTTGTATCACTGGAACTTCCAGTGCGCATCATTGTGTTCCTGGACCTTACTAAACGTGTAGCTGCACAGAGACAACCCATATAAACCAGCAGTTATCTATTGTTACACATCCGCTATCAGATACTTCACACATAGATTATATATACTGTATAAAAAATATATAGTATATAATTACTAAATCAATCAATACATATGCTCAATCAGAAACTGGATACTGTTAGATTTAAATCACTGGATACTGCTGTCCGTTTGCACTTACCAGATAATAATCATTGCTGTCGGAAACAAAACCTTGTATGCCCATTTTTTTACGCTATTTGAAGACAACTGTCCTTTACATTGTGTTAAAGGGGAGTTCAACCAATTTTTCTAAATTTCTGAATAATTCAGTCTTTTAGATCTAAACAGTCTTTCAGAGACAAAAAAAACTTTTAAAATAATACACACACACACACACACACACACACCTGAACTCATCATGGTTTAAGAAGAGACAAGCATCATCTGCCACAGCCATCTGCAGACAGGTGACCCCGCCCCACACTGGGGAGGTCCTGATGAGCAGAATGAAGGCCCTGAACACATCTAACATGCGCTGGATACGTCGCGCAATTGTATCAGCCTCACAATACTCACAAAACAGGTCATCACTGTTGTTCGAAAACCTCCTAAATCCTTTCTTTTCAACATGCCATGATGAAAAGAGTAACAGAGGAGAGAGAGAAGGGGGGCAGAAACACAGGCAGTATGAGAGAAACAAGAAGCAAAGACAGCGAGATAAGCGTCACTCAGTGATGCAAAATGTATGTCACCAAATGATATGCTAACTGCAAGTCAGTTTACACTAAAATATCTTAAGAGTGCTTTTTCCTGTAGGAGTCGCATGGTTACCTAAAACTTTCCTCCTGACAAACCACCTAGATTTACACTGAATTTGATAGATAATTAGCAGGTTTTACAGTTAAAGGTGGATATGCTTTTAATATAAGAACATTGCATTCATTGTTTGTATCAAGTCAATCCAGATTATCGAAGGCCAAAAGTGCCACAACGTCTAAATACTAAATACTAAAGACAACCATATTGTCACTGTGCAGATGTTAAATCAGTACCTGTACAGGTGGAAATAACGCGTGTGCATGCAAAATATTTGCCTGTGGAAACGGCCGACGATTTCCACCTACACATGAAAATCTGTGACACCTGTACGTGAGTTTCTATCATGTGCAGAAGAAATATACCAACCCAGGGAACCTAAATCTGTGTTTTCTTTATGATTAGATTAATCTTGTTTTTGCAGGCATGTTATGCTTTATTTTAGAATGTTAAATTTAGTAAATAAATACAAATAGTATACTAAATGTTTAAGTTTGTTTTCTGTAGAG